ATCTTACAGTTATTACAGCTCTGTCAGCTGTCATTATATCTGTAATGCTTTGATTCATCTGCTATTTAAACTCTAGTAGGTAGATAATCTTTAAGTGGCAAGAATTTAGAGTGAATCAGGAAGTTTAAAGTGCTGATGCTCAAAAGTACAAGGTAAATTACACTAATCATCTTCCTGTTGAAAGCCCTCACAAAATGCTTTATGCCTAATGACTTGACGTATTTATTGAATAAGGTCTGTTCAAATTTCTTTTTCAAGAAATACTGACTTTAACACATACATAAAAGAGAAACAAAATACTATGTGTTACACTTCCACTAAAGGAAAACAACACTACCTTTTTTTTTTTTTTTTTTTTTTTGAGCAAACTAGTAAAATGGAAAATCAAGGTGTTGAATTGCAGCTGAAGGAGTTTGAAAACCACCTCAAACCTTCTAACTTTTTCCACAGTGCAGAAAACTCCCAGAACCACCACATTCACACATCTGCACACTTGCAAAATCCCCACTGCCCTTTGCTACATGCTTTTTCACTTCACACAGTTTCCCCTAATCTCTACTTATCCCTAACAGTTGCAGTCCTCTACCTACAGCTTCAGTCACTGAACTGAAACATGAACCAAAAAATGTGTTTGACTCTTTTCAAGAAATGAGAAAGGAAGAAGTAGGGAAGATGGAAGAATAATTACGATAAAATACAACTACCTTTTGTGGTCCAATTTTGTCTGCTTGGCTGACTAAGTAAACTGTGTGTGCACTTGTGAGAACTCAATCATGGTCTTAAGGTTGGAAAACCAGCTCCATTGGTGTTCGAGGTGGCAGGCTTGGCACCTTCATCTTTTCTGGACAATTCACTTATTACACCCTCAAATATAATTATACTAGAGCTAGAATAAATTTACACTGGAGACTAACTATCACCATTAAGGAGTGTGCATGCAAAGCAGGGAGAGACCTGAAAAAAAAAAATCAAGATCTGCTTTAATGGCATAAAAGTAAGTGTAACATGAAAAAAAGGAATGATATCTACTAGTCATATTCACATACCCCAAGCACGGAAAAGAGGAGCATGAAATATGCACCATTTAAAAAGTAACGTTAACTATCATGCACCTAATAGGCCACTTGCTTCAATGACCAGTGAAGGAAGAGACTGGAACAAATCCACAGTGCTAATGAAGCAAAGCAAGCAAGGCAGAAGGCATTTCCTCCAGACTGATGAGCGGCTGCCCAGGGAAGGGGTGGGGGGAACAGACTGCAGAGCTGGGTGTGAGGTCATGGAACCCTGGCAGACAGGAAATCCCAGCAAATTTCTCCTACCAAAACTGTTATTATTATGACAGGAGACGTTCAAAACTGACAGATAGCTGTTGTTATGAGTGACATAAATTATACACTGAAAACATTTCTATAAAATAGATACTTTGAATTTTTCATACTTAATTCAATGCAAAGTAACAAGCAAAACAAGACCTGTAAATTGCTGTGCCAGAAAAGAATGAGGAATTATATCCTGGGCAAGAGAAAATGTTATTTTAAACTTAGTAATTGGCTATGTTACACCAATATGTTAATCTAAACACAGACACCTGTAACTCACTGAAATTCACTAGTTTGTGTTTTCAGTGCAGATAATTGAGCATTCTTATCTATACCCTTTTTTAATTTCACCTTAATTTAAACAATGGCAGCAAAAATTTGATTACTTTGGTTCATACGAAACTAAGACAAGTAGGTGGCAAGGTAGCTAAAAATCACAGAGAGTTAAAATTGCAATTTGCAAATGAAGACTGCAAGAATCTAGTTTACATGCCTCTATAGCCAAAGTAGACAGCTCTCCTAAAACCCTTAAGAGCTTTTTACTTTTATTTAGAACACACAGGATTAGATTTCTAAAGCCTCTTTCTGAATTTAATTGGGCAAGTACAACTTTTAAGTAGTCCATCTGCCTGGAGCACAGCAGCTGTGATGGGAAGTGAGGGATTCTACTGCAATATTTGGATACCTTCTCACACAAAACTGTGAGAAGCCTCCAGTAATTAGTGGACGATATGAGAATTCAGAATTTGGCACTGGAAGTTTATTTGCAGAAACTGTTTGACTTGTTCATTGTGTATATTTGTTTCCAGTGAACAAGCAGTAGAGTGACTTAAGCAATTTAATGCTAGAATATCATGAAAGTAAAATTTGCTATTAATATACATATTTGTTGCCTCAGCATCTTACGCCACATTTCTCTTTGCAGTGAAATCATCCAAAACTCATTTTCTCCTAAAATTTAATAACATAATAATATCATATTATTCTATTCCAGCAGCTGGTTTCAGATCTAGCCTAACTTATTTAAAAACAAACAAACAAACAAACAAACAAAACACCACCAGCCAAGAAAGATATTTTACCTACAGGTACTTGTCATGAGTTTTCAAATTCAGCATTTAAAATCTGCTACTAGTCCAGCACTATTCATTACATATACTAGATTTTGGCTCAAACTATTTTGGAATTATTTGGGTACGAGAAATTGCATTTGTGATGAGGCCTATCACAGATTATTTGGGTAAAAAACAGCAAAAATTCACATTCTAGAAACCTGGAGTGAGAACTCCAGGCTAAATTACATAGAAGTTAAATGTACATAGTTTGAGCAAACTATATTTGCATACACTCCTATTCCTATCACAGTAAGCCATGATCAATCTACATTTGTAACAGAAAGGTAGCCAACAATTCTATCACAGTTACATTTTGACACAACATTTAAGTCACAAAGTTAGCCACGGCCTATGTGATTCCTAGTCACATGTAAAGCTGTCTATGCACGGGGGTGAAGTAAAACTCTTTGTTTTCACTTTCACTGCAACAAGCACGTCACAGATTCATTAGCAATGCACTGTTACACATCTTTCCCATACCCTGTGTGCCTCTGGTCAAGACATCACAGCACAAGGTTTATGTTCCAGGAGAGAGGGAACAATACACTGCTCAACCCTTCAATCCACTAAGCAGACCATGAAACAGCCAGGGTGTGACTGCCTAGCTCAATAGAATCATCCACGTGTGCTTGAGCACAAAACGGACAAACCCCCACACTGGTACTCAGTGCAAGGGATGCACCCGCGACCTGCATGTGGAGTGGCAAACCGTTAGCACTTCAAATTTCACTAATAGTATTGGTTTTGTAGAATGAATACGGAGAAGCTGAAAGTGGTCAATGCTCATTACAGCTTCACCTGTGAATGAAATGTTTCTGCGGAAAACACTCACATAATTCAAGTGCCAGCTGCAACAAATGGGTAGAAGCTTTTTTTTTTGGGAGGGGGGTGAGGGGTGGGTATAAAAAAGATTAGTGGTTATGTTACATTTAAAGACTAAAATCCTCACAATTAAAACTTTGGTAACAGCTGGCTCCATAATAAACTAAGTTATTTCATTTTCCTTCACTCTTCCGAAGTAACACACAGGTGTGATGACTACATTATTGGCCTAACAGTTTTTCAAGAAAGTAAATTTTATCAGTCACTTAAAATAATTAATATCTGGGTTTTTTTTCATTATGAGCTCTCAGCAAATGTGAGAAACCACAGCTTTACAGACCAGTCTCCAGCATGCAAACTGAGCATAACACTATATACCTATCTACAGCCAAATTTAACCTTGATTCCTAACTAACTGATACTGCAAGGGAAATGTTTCACCTCCATAAAAAGGTTCCATTAGAAAATGTAATTTTCCTTGACAAAGAGTTGTACTCAAATCTGAACACTTAAAAGCAAGCAACTCTAAAAAATAAATGGAGTTGTTTGAACCTCAGACCACCAAATCTGTAGCTCTCGTTTATACTGTTCAGTTTTTTGATGAAAAACCTCATTCATAACAAGATTTAATAGCCATTTTCAAGAATGAAGAAGTTTTAAGATGTTTATTTGGGACCAGATTCAGGCCTGCATGTGAGTACTGACCACACAGACCAAACTACTACTCTAAGTATTTTATATCCATTTCCAGTGTTTTGTATTTCATATGAAGAAAAATTTAGGCACTTCAAAACCATAAAAGATTTTTCAGTTTCTCTAAGTATCTGACTGCCAAAGTTAGAAAACCACTGGAGACAAAAAGTTGTTAGGAGACAACAGAAGAAAATGCAGTGTTTGGCAGTTTGTTCATCCACAACTGTTATCTTTTTATTTTCAGGAAACATTTCCTGTCATTCTTCATTTGCTGGTTATTCAGTCTGGACCACTCTTGTGATGCCCAAGTACTTCAAGAACTTCTGCAAAGGAAACAGTCCCTTGGATACCATAGGCCTCAGATTCACATGAACTGAAGGAACAACTACACATCAGTAACGTCTCTCACTGAAACCCACTGGATAATGCATTTTTGCCTGGCCAGAAGTGGTTATATTTTGCTTAACTGTTTGGGAAGATGAGTTTCATTTGCAACACTAAAAAATGGCTGAAGAAGAAAAACTCTCACTGAAGAAAGAAAATCAATTTGGTATTAATGGATATATTCCATCAGTAAAACTATGCCTTAAAAATGAAAATTCCCCAAGAATTATGTTTGTTGTTTAGACTACATGCAAATAAAACATATGTGACTGGTCCATCATAAAAAAAGCTGGATCACTAATGGAGAGCTGACTGTCAAATAAGAGCCATCAGGAAAGCCATAGACTCAACCTTACCTTTAAATTAGTTAACTGTAAGCATAATGGCCTGCTGCAGTTCTGTAATATGAAGATCATGTTATCTCTAGAGCACAAGGATTTCTGTGTTCCTTAGCCACAAGAAATCTTCCCTTAAATTTGATATTTCATTTCTTCATCTTACTGATTGGTTTAACTAGCAAGTAAATTTGAATGAGCACCCCTAGACCAAGCATGTCAGTTAAAAGCATACATGGTAACAACAAGAAGAATGAAAAGCTTCTCTAGGAGTAAAGTATTCCTTTGCATCTTAGGAACGATCTTAATATACAGCTCAAATGACAACTGAAATGGGTCGCAAAGAAACACGTTACTTGCAGACTTTAAATTGTGATTCGGTGGCCCAGCAGAACATGAAAATGCGCCCAGTGCTACTGAAAAGGAACAGTCTGGATTCAGCTGATTTTGTGAGAAAGCCACATCACCGCAGGACCAAATCTCAACAGGTTCGATTCAAGGATGATGGTGTGAACACAAAGACAGAAATGGATATTAATCCTACCCAAGATACAGCATTCACAACTGGAAAAACAGAAATATTTAGGGATCACCATTTTTTGCTACATGAATCTCCATGCTTTCCAAGGGTTCAGAAAGGGCTTCGGAACATTGCCATACAAACATCTCCTAGCCTCAGGAAACATTTCCCAGTTTTTAAAAAGAAAAAGCTGACAGTAAGCAAATCATTAACAGAAATGCCAACCGAGCCTGCAAATTCTATCGAAGTAAATGGCAATATTTCTGAAGACAACATTATGTCTTCAGATCTCTGTTACTTAAGAATAACTAATCATTCGGAAAATGGATTTAGGAATAGTGAAGTGTATGGTCAATTATGTGACAGATCGTCAAAAGCACAAAGCAATGGACCTAGCCACTCAAACGATTTCTCGGAGTCAGAGAAGACAGCTGCTTCTACACAGGTCCCTGAATACATACATGTGAGTTGCCCACAAGACACCAATGTTTCCATGGATGCACCAGACACAAGCATGAATTTAAGTAATTCTCTGCATTCTACAGTCACAAATACCAATGAAAAGAATGAAACCAGCATGCTGTCATCTAATTGTGAACAGGTCTACCATTGCCTAAGCAATTATACTAACTGCAGTGAATGTAATCCTCAGTCTGATTCTCCTGAAGCAGATAAAAGCGATTCTGAATCTCTTGTAGCCAACAAAGATGCAAGCAGTAAAGATACTACTCCATTATCACCTCCATCAAACCACAGTTCATCTCCTTGTTTCCTCAGAGACTATCAACAGGCAGGAGAGCACAAAACAGATTCCAGCTATGTAACACTAACAAATAATGTTCGCACAATAATGCCATTGAGCAGCGGTAATGTATCCAAGTCTATTCTGCCGTGTAATACTGAAATGGAGAAAAATCCTACCCAGTCAGATGTTTCCCAGTGTTACAGCTGTTTAGAAGGCTGTCACATAAAGTCTTATCTGCAAAGGAATGAAATAAAACCACAAACCAACAAAGAGATTAATGAAATAAATCAAATTCATTTGGCAGATGGTGAACTTTGTGCCCTACAAGGCAGGCTGCAGTCTGTAGAGGAATCCTTGCAGTCGAACCAGGAGAAGATTAAAGTCCTTTTGAATGTAATCCAAGACCTGGAAAAATCCAGAGCCCTCAGCGAAGGGTATGTTGCATTTTAATACTAGTAATTAATCAGAAGTGTTAAGGACATTTTAGCATTTTTTTTATCCTTTGCAACTGAAAAAATAGTCTTTCCTGCAATATTTTAAAGATGGGTTTGCAAAAACAGTGCCTTACACCGTTTTTCTGGTACTTGGGTCTCAGCAGAGACAAGTCTCTTTCTAGTTTGGTTTTAGCTAACACTGCCTTTACTAATCCCAGTGAGACACAGTTTATTAACTCTGGTTTGTATTTTGATGTCTGGTGCCAGACACAAAGCTGCTGGCACCTGTGGACTGGCAGTCTCCACCTAGTTGCAGTAGAACACCGAACCCCAGCCGCCTCATGTGCTAATGTAGTACGGTAGAAATTTATGGCAAGGCAACTACCTCTTACTAGCAAGGACAGATATGCATTTAGTGCCAGAGCAGCCCTACTGCTGGAACACTTTCTATCAGCAAAATCTTGCCTCTGCTCAAGAAATTCTTACTGCCTTCAGAAGCAAGCAAAAGGATTAGTGGTTAGGGCGTAGCATCTGCTGACATCTGGGGACCACACTGCTAGTTACATTTCATGATATCACAAAGAACACAGCTACTTAATGGGAATGGCTTAAAAGTAGGAAAAGGCATAACGCCAGGTAAACTTCAAGAGTTTCAATATGTTGGGAAGATTTCATGGGTTAAAAGGGATCGAAACTATGAACAGACAGCATTTCAAAACTGTTAGCAAGAACTAACTTCAGCATCTCAGATTACAGAGTGACTGCTTTCTGCACTACCATAAGAATGCATGACCTATATTTAGTTTCAGCATGCTCCCATAGTGTCTACTAGCCAAGGCTGCAAGCATTATTAATGCAACTTTTTTATGCATTATAAATAATAGTAATAATACTATAAACACAACTAATGTCTAAAGATTGGACCCCTTCAGAGGACAAGGTTAAAAGAATCACAGAATGATTTTGGTTGGAAGGGACCTTAGAGTTCATCTAGTTCCAACCTCCCTGCTATATCAGTTAACCCATGGTTGAGAACAAAAACATTTAAGTTTCACACCAAAATTCAATGATAAGCTTCAATTGATCTTGCTAGAATCACCTAGCAGTACAAGTGAACATTCCAAGTACTTGCAATAGTACAACAAGACATGTAAGGAATCTCCATTTGAATTTCATCAAATTAATGAACCTCATCAAACAATCAGAAAACTATTTCAGTAGCAGCTGAACTCCCCTAATTCAAATAAAACTTGTTAAATGTAGGTGCTGTGTATCCTTCAGAAGTCATGCCATCAAACTCAAATCATTTCTAGTGCAAATCTCCCCAACATAAAAATAATTCAGCTCTAGCTGGCCTTAAGAATGACCATCACTTCTCTTGTTTTCGCAACTCTTCAAATTTGTAGACCATCAGCAGTAAAAGTCTGACTCAAGTGAGGAAAAGGAAAAAGGGGAAAGCATAATGATAGGGATCAAACTGATTCACCAGAAGCATGGATATTCAAATACTTGAAAGTGTGTTTATAAGAAGCAGTCACATCTCTTAAGTGTTTCCATGCCAAGTATTCATGCAAGACCCAACAACCAGAAGCTTAACAGCATGAGGTGGGAAGGATGCAAGACAAAACAATGAGTCGGCACAGGGTTTAATTTTTTTAAAATCTTCTAATTTAGAATTTGACACTAGAATTTTTTAGCATGGATAAGAGAAGTGTTAAGCAGAATTACTTTTATTCAAGAATGATTCAGAGATCTGTTTATGTATCTGTAAACACACACTACATGAACTACTGTTTATTACAGGCGTAACTTCTATCACACTGGTCAAGACCTCAACAACTGCAGCACCTGCCAGAACACCGCATGTATCATTTACAGGTACTTCACTCCCTCACACAATTTTGTATTGTCTGTCTATCTCTCACAGAAGTCCAATACAGTGTTTTGCTCACAGTTATAAAACGCCTCAATTATTATCAACACAGATTTTAACAAAAGACTGAGAGGTAGCTGTGAGGTGATTTATTTTCGTAAGTAGAAAACAGTTAATATTAGTTTCATCTGAAAGAGCCACTGTACTTATGAAAATTCAAATAGCAATCTCCCACTAAGATTCCACTCTATTATTATTACTAGCATGCTTTGAAAACCTTTGATGCCATTTCTGAGGGTGAAACTCCCTTTGTGTGTTTCATTTTAAAGTTCGGATTTTTGTAATAAATTTACATCTCTGTGAAGATAAACATTCAATTCTCCAAGTGACAGTAGTTTATAGCTACCATGCATGTTTATGTGCAAAACAAAACCAAAACCCCCATTCTTCTCACTTCTGTAAATGTTTACTTGTTATTATTTGGCGTAAGTGCACTTTGTGTATAAGTTAGCCCAAATTTAGACTGTAGTTTATGTTAAACTCTTGTGACTAAACCACTTTGTGACACTGCATTAGGAAAGGTGCACGTTTCAAATGTTATTTCTACACAAACACAGTGAGAGTCTGCAGCTTGCCAGACAGTAACCAAAATGGTACAAAGTTTTGGTTATGCTGCACATGGAGCTTTTTCACTCAGCAAGGAATATCATCAGGCTTTTACCAGAGCATCAACATACTATCTCATCTCTCCAACCTCAGTTATGAGGCAGAAAACACTCATCTTCAGTTATTTGAATCTTAGAGATTCTTTAGGCTGCTTACAGAGTATTTAGTAACATATTGCACAAATGCAGCACCATCAGATCTGGAGCTCACATACTTTGTCATTTGAGATCCTTTCCAGTACTGCCACACACTGCAGACTGGAGAGAATGAACCAGATGAATGCATGGTTAAAAGTGCATATAATATATTAGGCCTCATTTGGACAGGTAGAGGATATGTATTCAAACCAAAGGTAGCAGAGAAATTATAGTACTGCTAGTTTAATCCTGTCTTTTTGAGTTCATGTTTTGTGATGGACATATACTTCAAGGACTCCACAGCTGATGAACTAATTACTTAAAACATGCTTGGTTTTCTTGCTACACATATCACACTTCTGATGTGCTGTACTAAGCTTATATTTTTAAAAAAGCTCAATAGTAAACAAGTTGCCAGTCATATATTGTGAAGATCAGGTATTGAACTTAGACACTGTGCTGCAAAATTAAGTTCATTTGAAACACTTGGTAGAAATTTTTTTATCCCTTCAGAGATATTCCTGTTATATTACAGAAGCTTTAGATGTTTTAACATTTTTACTTTTAAAAAATTAATGGGAAAGGTAATTTCTCTTTTAGGTTGAAACCTTCTCCTTTATTTCAAAGAATATGGTAGGCCATTAGCTTTGCCACTTCATAAACACTATGACTTGAAATATTTTTATGGAAATAATTAATAGGCTATGTCCACATGGAAACAGTTTTCACATGGCATTTTTTACATGAGCCAAGTATATTAAAAGAGCTTAATAAGCTTGTTAAAGTCAGGGCTGGACAGCATTGGAACCAAGAGCAGTAATGTCATAAACCTCTGCTAATGATCTTAAAGCAACTGACAAGTCACAAATTAAACACAACAGCTCCAGTGAGACAAAGCTGTTAGTCATCTCCACAGTGTGCCCAGTACTGCTGGATGTTATATGGCTTATCTGAGAGCATAGAATGAATCTGTATAACAAGGACAATCCAGGACAAAACTCCTTTCCTTTACTTGGTCATTGTCTCTGAACAAACACTCTCTGTGCTTTCTTTTTGGACTGTAAGTAAACAGAGATCACTCTCCAGAATTTATGTACAAACTAGCCAACACCATAGGATGCCTTCTCTCATCAGAAGAACAAACTGTGATGCTTAACTTGCATTTTCAGTTTACAGAGTCTCAATACAGGTAAGATCCTAAGCAACAAGCACAAGTATCTAAAGGAAAGAACTGAGGAAGTATAAAAACCATTTGTGGGTCTTTTCAGCTAACTAGGTAGTTTATAATGATAACGGTGCCTGGAGGCTTACAGTGCAATGATTAGTAGTATACATGCCAAAAAAAACAGTTCCTCTAAAGAGTTTCTATTTTTAAGAGGCAAAACAGAAGAGGGCAAGGAAACATAATAGTTTTCACTTTACAGAGATGTTCCACAAGAAACAGCTATGAAAAAAGCATTCTGTGTAACTAATATCTGAGGATTATAACTTATTAAACAACATTCTGCAAAAATTGTTATCACTTTTTGTTCCAGACAAATCCAAGCAATTCATGTGGTTTATGTAGCCTAAAAGATCCGTGCAAGTATTTTTCCCACTAACCTAGTATCACAGTTGATACTTATAGACTCAAGTGTTCCACCTTGCTCCCTGTTTTTCTGCTCTTAAAGTGAGTGACTCACCAGTGATTCAAAGGCTGTTCAAGCAGAATGTTGGGTTACTGTCACTGAACCATCTTTATCATGCACATTTTAATAAGTCCCAGAATCAAACCATATACTCATCTCAAATCAATCCAAGGGTGGATTGCACTGGTAAAGGTAAAAAGAGTTTGTCAGTCTACCACGGATCAAGTATATAATGGTTTTAAGTTTAGCTTTATTAACTACCCAGCAGGGTTACGTGAGATGACTTCAGATTTTCAATCTAAATCCTGTAAAACAAGTGTTTGTAGTGTAACAAACAAATGCAAGTAGCAACTGAGAACAATCTGAGCATACAAGGGACAGTATTAATTGAAGATTGAATTGATCTCTTGCCTCTAGACACGATTTCAAAGTTAGAAACATTGAAGAAGGGAAGAAAAAAAAGACATGAACAGATGTTATCCTTACGTATGCTATAAAACAAACATTTCATTCTCCAGTACTTGTAATCTGTGACTACTGAAATGTATTAAGTTGCTGTTTTAGCAATAAGCTGATAAAATTGAACAGACCCTGATTAAATCTGTCATGTATATCACTTTCTCCTAGTTCTTTTACCATTATTAAGTATTGCTCCTTGTCCAGCAATCCCTCTCCAAGTCTTCTAAATCAGAATAATACTATTGCTTTCTTTTTGCCAGCTTTTTTATTTCACAAAAAAATCAAAATCAATTGGAAGAGAAACAAGCTTCTAGTTAATTTTAAGATATTATCCAACAACGCTCATGGATTTCCGCATACATACAAATGCACACCATTAATAGCATTTATAGATAGGGATATTTACTAATATTACAGATTTCTTCTACTCAGTGCCCAAATCAGGTTCAGGGCCTTAATGCAACATCTCAGCATCCCTCTGATGCCTTTCTCCTCCCAAAGAGCTTGCATTATGGGAAATAGAAGCAGCTCCTTTCTACTCTCTCCTCCACATGCTAAAACCTCTAAAGCTGGCATAGCTGATAAAACTTGCACTCTCCTGCCCATAAAAGACAGCTGAAGTAGCCAACATCCATTCTTTGGAACCTTACATTTCTTGTGCATAGAGCTGCTCTTATTTGCACTTACTTAATTAACATCTTCACTCTCATGTGACACTATCAATAATTATGGGTTTCAATGGAGAAAATCAGCCACATTTTACTTTACTGTTAATTAATATCAGTTATCTCAAAGACTTAAATATTTCCTTAATTTCATATATTTTGGGTCCCAGCAGGTGTCTTAGTGGGAGACACTCTTTTAACTAAATTAAGCAGGTGACAGTTTGAATACATGCCAAGCATGTGACTGAGTTAGATCACAGTATCAAAATCTAAATAGAACACAATGAAAGAGCATCCTAGTATATTTTCCTTTTTTGTCGCTTAATTTTTGTCCCACTGTTTTGGACATAACACTGGAGTTCTTAACTCTCAGAAAGAAAAAGGTTCCCCCCCCGAAAGGTTTAAGAGATTAATTTATGTTCCTAGAAGTAATTTATACACCCTTGTGTTTTGACCATGCTCTACTATTGCATAATGCCAAACTATTCTAATGTTGTAAGCATCCTCGCCACGTGTTTTTTAAAGACAGAATTTCTCACTTAGTAACTTAAATCTCTTCATTTTTCCATAGTGTAGAACACGACTTCAGACAACAGGAAGGAAGATTTCATGAGATTCTGAAAATGCTGGATCATGCAGAGCAAATTCCAGCTTCAGCCTCACCTCAGAAGCTACCATCTGATCATCCAGCCCCCGAGAAAAAGGAGTTACGAAGAAAGACAAAAAAGGTGAAAAGAAAATGCTTCTGGTGGATTTGACTTCCTTATGGGTCCTTTTACATTTCAAAAGACACTATAACAGAACGAGGTTTGAGAGCACACACCTGAAAATGTGCTATTGTGAAGTCACAAAGATAAAGAATGTTTAATTGCAGTACCTAAAAAATCATAACAATTGAATTTATTTAAATCATCTCACTGAATAAAGGTGCATGCATGAAGATACTATTTTCAAGGAGAAATTGTTTCTTTCAAAAGGAAGCTTTTTCATTTTTTCCAAGGACGCTTTCATATGCTTTGTAAAGACTTATTTTTCCCAAATTTTCAAAATTATGAGATTTGAATCTCTGTTTTAAAAAAACAACGGTAGACAAAACTAAGGGTGTCATACAGTCTTAATTTCCTAATTATAAGACACGGGCTAAATGGAAAGAACTTCATTAATCTTTAAACAAACCACATAATCAAGAAGAAATTCAGAATAGTCTACTTTGTTCAAACATATCTCTTCATAAAGAATTCAATTAAAATTATTTTACAACCCCATTTAAATATTTTTGTTGTTGTCATCTGATATTTAACAACCACCGGAACAAAATTTCAGGTTAAATTTTACTGTCCTTTTAATGGTTCAATTTGAAAAGCAATCAATTAGATCTTTCAGCCATTTAACAAACTTCTATGAGAAGAACTGCATAATCATAGAACAAGAGAGTAACTTGGTAATTCTAATCTTAAACTCCTACTCAAGCAAAGTCCAATCAAGTGAATTTGAGTTTTGAGTACGTCTAAAGACAAGAATCCATAACCCTTTGGAGCAAGCTGTTCTGAATGACTTTCCTAATATCTCATCTTAATTTCCTGTGTTCTAACTTGTGTCCACTACATCTTGTCCTGTCCAAATACACCTTCAAGAAGAATTCAACAGACAGTAAGACCCCTTTCCTAAGCCTTCACTTCTTTAAGACTGTACAAATATATTTTTCCCTGCCTCTCTTTACATGTTACATGCTGCAGCCCACAGCCATCTTGACAGTCTCTCTCCAGTAAGTTGATGTCTTTTATCTACCTGGATGCCTAAAGCTGGACACAATGCCTCAGATGTCATCACCAAATACAGGAGAATAACCACTTTGGCTATTGTCTTGATAAACCTTTTGCCCAATTTGTCAATTTAAGACCTGGACCACTACATCAAAATGTCCCAAGAAACTTTTTTTAGCCTTAAGATACAAAAAAGCTGATAGAAGACCCAAAATTGACCGTATAAAACAAATATTTCATGAACTTATCTATATTATACCAAAAAATTATATATGCTGAAAAGGTTGTCAGATGTCAATACAGCTATTTCTTTCCTTCAAAAATAGTAATATAACCAGCTAGCACAGGGTATGCCAATGTAACTTAATTTAGAGTTGATGCTACTACTTGGCTGCTGATGAAAATGTGGTAACCTTTCATATGGGGGGCAGAGGGGAAAAGGTTTTCCAAAGCAAATTTAAAGGGCATGCTGTAAAGCCCCAATAATGGATTTTATGTTTAGTGGAATGTACTGCAGATCTTTTCTTAGAAGTGACTCTGGTTAATTCGTTCAAATGGTGCCAGGGTATTCAATAGATTAAGCCCTGGTTCCTATTTTTCTAAGTCAGATAGAATTAATTGTGCAATGTTAGTTAAAAATGTCTGTACATTTTTTTTGTACACTTCTGTGTTCCTTGAATTCTTAGAAATAAGTACACAACTGAAAACTTATTAAAAACAATTTTACACAGAAGAATTTTGTCTGGAAGAATACATTTTTTGATAAAACTAGTCTTCATTTAGAAGCGAGTACGCTAAGGCTTAATTTATCAAAATTCTAAAGGACTGAGTTTTAGAAAACACTTCCATTTTAAATTCAGTCAACATGGAAATGACAGGCACAGAATTATTTTAGATGTTTTTCTTCTGGAAAGTGTTATATGAATTTTTAATAGCAAAAAAAAAATGCCATTAGTGAGAAGTAATATCTTCAGTCATAATTTGTGTGTATAACAAAGGTAAAAATTAAATTATTACACCAGAACATGTCATGATATTACACTCAAATACATATACTGCTTACACTGGTATTCCAACCTCTTTCCTAAATTGCATTAGTCTCTATAATTGATATAATATTAGTGTGCACATGTTTCTGGTGTATTAAAATAACGTTGTAAGAGTAAGATTCTCTGTGGTAAAGGTGTAACTATGAGCAGTACCAGCAATTATAACACTAGCAAAACTACTAATTTTTTTTCTGTAGTGAACTCATTTTTGGTAATTTATTATCAAATAACAATCTTTTTGTCTTTCTTACTAATAAGAGCAAACAAAAGATCATGTTAAGCTGTCTGATTTTGGTTTTGCATACATAATGATTATTATGCCTTCAGTGCATTTTCAGAAGATTCAAATTATTCATTTTAAACAAACCACAGTATTTTGGTTCACCACATAGCACCGATCGATTCCCGGGGTCAATAAAACTATGCAAAACCAGACATACCCTATTTACTTAAAGAAAGCCCAGCCAAAGATAGTTCTTAATAAGGCTTGACGTCCTTCTTAGGAGCTGAACAAACATCAATATTTCTGAAAAACTGAATTATACTGATGTAAACAGTTACAGCCGTTATACTTTAATGTCGGATCTTGATGGAACTGTGAACTGTAGACAATTTTTAATCCTCCATCTCCTAGACAAAATGATCCTTTGTTTTCTATATTCCTGTCATTTATTTTTCAATTCCCTCTCAGTGAAGTATGGATTATCCATGTATGGATAGGAAATGCCTTTTTTTCACATGTGCAGACACAGCAGTAGGGAAACAAAGTATCTAGGCCAGCCGACCCTCAGCTCCCAGTGCTGCAATCTAAGAACCTCCACTTGTCTTCCAGCCTACCCTCTGCTCAGTGTTTGCAAACTCAACCCCTCCAAGAGCAAATGAAACGAAAAGATGAAATTACAGTACTGCTAAAGCACTGTCCTTCAGAAAGGTTGCTCCTAGAGTTCTATAATTCAGGACAACAGAGTTGTTCTTTGTTTGTTTTTTTTTTTTGGAGTCAGCAGTAGTACAAACAGCAAGCCAAATTCATACATATATATTTAAGGTCAAAGCAAAATGCTTATCTGAAACAGACAGAATTCCCTCATTCTTCTTACAGAGGCTCTGATTATCATGAACAAAAAACCATGCAGTAGTTTAACTGAAAACAAAGTAAAAGTATGCCAGAAGTAAATTATTTCTACAAAGGAATAATCATCTTAGTTCCACAATAAAACCACACCTACTAAATACAAGAAGTTATTTCACCCAGTGTCCTCCACAGTACACCACACATAAGAGGTTTTGGACATAAAATTTTGAAGACAACCTTGGATCAAAAGGCTATTAGTTACATTAAATACAACAGTGGGAAAGTGTCACTCAGTGTGCATCAGCCCCAGGAGGAAGGCAGGACTGCTTAGTTGCTAAATGTTTTGTTTAGATTTAACACAGAAATTTGTATATCCTAGCAACCCAAAATACCTAACATTTAATAGCTTTGTAACACGGCTGGAGAATCTAAGCTATGTGAAAAGGTAATAGGCAAGCATCGCTTTTCCTTCTGCTGTTTAATATTTTAGTAATTTATTATTAATTCATATAGGAAATAAAAAAATTACCATATACATAATATGCAATTTATGATGTCACGACAGGAGAAGCAATAGAAATTGGGAGATTGTTAGAAGACACTAGTACTGGCTATAAAAATGTCTCAAATTTAGAAAATTACTGAGAATGCCCAAAACCAGCTCCCAGAGTAGGAAACAGAGATACATACAAACATGCTCTTAAATAAAATTTTTTAAAACCCACAAACAAACAACAAAAAAATCCTCTAAACCACACACACCTGACAACACTTGCATACAAAGTATTGTAGACTTCTCAGATGGATATACTTAAATAAAAACTATCACATGGTATTTATAAAACATCGCACAGAACATGGCATACTCCAAAACTGCTGTATTTTAAATTCCTGTTCTATGGGGTCAACCTATCTTTCTTTAAAAAATCTGACTCTGTGAATAAAACACTGATTTCTCTCTGTTGTGTAACAGCAGTTCCTGTAGGGCTTTTGATAGTTTGTGCACTACAGCTCTTTCGAAAAAACCACAATACTTAGTAATTTTGCTAGCTTAGATACAAAACACCTTCCTAATGAAATGTATTATCTAATGTATGTTTTGTAAATTTCTAGGTTCTTTAAATGTGATATTAACTTTTGCAATAAAAAGAGATATTTTTCTTAGATTTCAGGAGTCAATTAATAACAAAATTTAGATTACAATGGGAATGAACAGTTTTATTTGGAAAAGGAAAATGAATGGGAAAGAAATAAATAGAACTTTCATGGAATCATTCTGCAGCTTTTCTATTAAGGATTTCCATTAGAATGCTACATTCAAAAGTTGTAACCTATAGCTAGACTATATGTATATTGGAATATAGCATGTTCTTCAACTATGGCAGCTCTACAAGACTGTTTCTCTGGTCATCATTTCCCCAAAGAATATTGGTTTTGACAGAAGTATGCTATCTAGAGTAGCTTTGGTTGATAGAGCAGCTTTGGTTAATAGAGCAACCTATTTTCAGCTAAGTCTTTATTTGTACATTAACTTCTATAAATGTTGTCTAAAACTCTTCTGTGTAGTGTAACTACACTCTTGTCATCATGCTAAACTGATATTGTGACCAAAATGAAGTTTGGGAGTAAAAAAGAAAAGCTTTAAATTGTATATGCTGGATTTTTGTATTTTTGTTTACCCAACCAAGCCAACCTCAAAACCAAGTACTTGTGTATTGCAGACCTTTCTACAGGTTGTACTTCCATAACTACTGTCTTAGGAATTGACTGCATTGCACTGCCCTTTAACTAAAAGTCTAAACTTGATGAAGTATTCAAGATAAAGCTTGAAGAGCCAATGCGAGAAAAACTTGTCCCTCTATTACAACTTCAGA